CCGGTCGAAGGAGTATAGCGGGCAGTTAATGTATTATTCCGCTTTATAACGGAGGGTTCATTCTTGTTTGCTTTTCCCTTGGGTACAGTGTGTGCATAAGAGCGAGGTAGGCGTGCGGGGGCTGGGACACAGGAGGAATAAGTGAATAAGAGGGAGAGAAGTTACTTACCTGGGCAGAGAGGGAAATGGGACCAGGAGGCTGCCACCCACAGAGCCAAACACGTCAAAGACAGGGACTGCTCGGTTCGGGATGACCATGTTGACTGTCGGTGACGGCGGACGTTAGGCGAAGTGACTCTTGGCTCAAAGGGTGGTGGAAACCAGTAGTCTGCGGAGCTAGTAGGTCATGTGCTACTTCGCACCGTGTTGGATGTGTGGGCGTCCGCGCCCCACCATTGCCCTGCTGCCTGAGGTTCGCTTGCCTTGCATGTAGTTCTTTGCGGGTTGATGTGTTCGCTGTGCGGTATGACCGTGTTAAAAGTGTTGTCCTGTGTTTTGCTGTTTTATTGTCGGGCTGTTCCTCCGCCGGCCGTGCCCTCCCGGTACATACTGTAGGTTACCGCGTTGCTGATGCAGCTAGTTGCTATCGTGTCGGGGCACAGTCTGTGTGCTTATATTGAACCTCGACTGGTGTGGCTGTTATAGGCTTAGGCAGCTGCTGTGTTTTAAGGCTACTGTATGCTACTGCCTGCCACAGCCCGCCGTAGAATGTGCAAAAGTTGTTGCTGGCCACTGTTGGCTACGGTAGGCCATGAAAGTTTGATGCATACTACAGCGTACTACTACCGGTCACTGCATATTCCTCCACATTACTGCGACATTGTTGTATACTACGGGCCTACTGCAGGCGTCTGTGCGTCATCGTTGAGAGGGTGGTGAACCGCTGTTGGTTGAGCACTATTATTGACGTTATGCATCACTACTGCACYTGACCGAGGCTARTGATGTGCACCGTTRACTGAGGCACGACAATACGTAGGTTGGAATACTGTAATTTGTTGAGATACAGTTCGGCCAGCGCGCTATTGGGTCTATTGTGGGGGCGCCGCAAACAGGAGGTGTAGTTGGACTGTGAGGGGAGTTAAATGCTGYGAAGTGGGGGYTCGTCAGGAGGGTGAGTTCGACWGTTTGACTTCAGGTTGACCAAGCGATTGTTACATTGGTCGCCATTGCGGGGCCCTTAGGCGTTGGAAGATAACAAGGCCCTCTCCCGCGAGTCTGAGTGCAACTCCCTTGGATTTGAGAGTCTTAACGTTTCTACTTCTGCCTTTCTTACTCTAAGTCTAGTCTGTTGGTTCTGAGAGGAAGGCGGCAGGCGGGATTGCAACCCGTAGGACCGCAACAAGACTCTGTGGGGAGTCATCCCACCGATTGCGGGAGCTCTGCCGGAACTCAGGAGGAGTTATGGAGGCAGGGAACTGACAAGTAACCATTGTTTTCCCTCTATAAACCCAGTTATAACCCCTATTTGTATTTCCCATTGCATTTCTAACTGAGTATATGGTGTGCAGCCTAACTTTGACTTTTGTTTGACTTTCAGGATGCTGAATCAGACTAAGTAAAGGAATGTCTGCTCAATCTCAGGTTCAATTTTATTTTGTTGTATGAAATCAGATTGCTGAAAGGAATTGCATCTGGGGAAGGCAGGATGGAGGACTGTTTTGATTGAGGGTTTAACTGGGTCATTAAGGCTAGGAAGTCCCCACAAGTTTGGGGAGACTCAGTGCTTTGTTTATTTTGGTTCGTATGGAGCGTCAGACCCTTCTATAAGTTTAGGGGGTCTGATTCCTCATGAAGGGTCAGGCTGTTCTATAAGTTTAGGTGGTCTGACTGCTCTGACTTGTGAGGGCTGCTTGTGTTTGACTTTTTCAGGGACCAAGCTCGTTCTGTAAGTTCAGGTGCCTTGGTCACCTTGGTTATTTTGGGTTTTCCCCTGTTTATTTAGTTCTGAACGAGGAGGTCTAAGTCGTTCTATAAGTTTAGGTGACTTAGCCTCTTCCTGTTTTTTTTTTTGATAAAACGAACCTGACAGAGGGCAGATCGTTCTGTAAGTTCAAGTGATCTAGCCCAATGTCACGCACATATTGGATCAGAGAGGAACGAATTAGGCAGAGAGTCAGACTGTTCTGTAAGTTCAGGTGGTCTGACACAAAGTCTCGCACATGTTGGAACCCAAAGGTTATAACTTTGCTATATTTTATTATTATTCAATTTAAGAACAGGTTAGTCAGACCGTTTTATAAGTTTAGGTGGTCTGACTATAGCCTATCACAACTTGAAGAAAGTATAATTAAGAATATAACTGGTGGTAAGTTGGGGCAGGCTGAGCTTAAGTTTGTTCAGCCCTATGCAGCTTTAGGAGGCTAAGTGCAAACAATTATATATAACTTGGATATCTTTAACAGTTCAGGGCGATTAGAGTGGTCTAGTCATATGCCCAAAGAAGAGAGAAGTAGTTGTGCCCTCTGTTTGTATATACTCTTTGGCAAGTTAGGCTCATTCCATAAGTTTTGGTGGCCCGACCTTATGCCTTATGTAAGTTGGGTACAAGGGATTAAATCATTGAAAGGTCGTGAACTATTGTTTGTTCATGTATACTTTGGGATGATGAGAGTACTTACCTTTGTGGTCTGGCCTGCACGTGACTGAGGGATATCACTACTTATATGAGTTTCAGTTTGATAGGTAGTTGTTTTAGCTGCTCGCCGTGTGCTAGAGCCATAGGAGTTAGTTTCAATCCCTGCATTTTCTGTGATAGTTTTTTTTACTTAGGTCAATTCTTGCATTTTCTGGGATCATTTTTTGTACTTAGCCTTATATAAATCTTGGCAAGCTACTTTCTCTACGGGAAGCGCAACCGAAATTTCTACAAATCCAAGGAGTTAGTCAATTTTTGACTTGTCAAAGTTCAACTTGTTTTTTCTTTATATCTGACCTAGTAAAAATCTGGAAAGTCTCATTTTCTAAAGGGAGTGCTGTCCAATTTTTTGTTAATTCAGGGAGTTAGACAAAATTTGGACTTTGAGAAGTCAAAGTTACTTTCAAATTTTGGACTTAGCCTAGTATGAATTTTGGAAAATCACTTTTCTAGAGGGAGTGCTACCGAAATTTCTGCAAAACTAGGGAGTTGGTCAAATCTTGTCTAAGTTGAACTCAAGTTGTCTTTTGAGTTCATTTCTGACTTAGTGTAAATCTGGGAAGTCTCCCTTTCTAAAGGGAGTGCAACCAAAATTTTTACTAATTTAGAGAGTTAGACAAAATTTGACTTTCCAGAGTTAAAGATTATTTCTGCTTTCATATTCGGACTTATATAAATTCTGAAAAGGCACTTTTCCTACGGGAAGCGCTGCCCAAATTTTCTTAGTTTAGAGGAGATAAATTATATGTTGACAGGTGGCGATTCTGGTGATCCACCCTGAATAGGGGAGATTCTGCCATGAGTCTACCTTTCTTATGGCGCTTGCGTAGAGGTAGACTTAGATATAGTTAACTAAGATGATTTGGATAAGATCATGATATGAAGATTGCTCTCGATGGACTTATAGGTTTAGACTGGGGCATTGACCTGTCATGTGTTACAGGTCCTCCTGATCGTTTGATTCAAGTTCAGGACTAGATTCAGCTTGATCCCTTGAGGGTCATCTTCTGTTATCATTGATAACAGGTCGGTTGCAGATTCGTCAGTCTACGATTCAACTCCAAATCACTCTCGCTACTCAACCTAAAGGCTTCAGCCTAGTGATTTGGATTGTTTTATTGTGTTTTCACCCGGACTTTATTTGAATGGTCATTTAAAGAAAAGTACTGAGTATTTTGCTTTGAGGAGTTGCACAAGAGTGAGGCTTGCATGGCTAAAGCGAGGGGTATGAGTACAGAGAATGGTTGAAGTTGACCCCGTGTAGTGCATGGACTTTCTGGTTGAATCTTTGATGTGATTGCAGGTATGCTTGGTGATTCGGACTTGGGATTTGACTGCCTGCGCTCACATACATATATATATGGCTGAGAAGACTGACATTGTGACTGTGAGAAGTGATCGTCCTATACTGATAACCCTCTATACATATGTGTATATATATGTCTTGAGTGTGCGGCCTACTGGGACCGCGCGTAAAGGTTAAACAGATTATGGGTTTGAGAGAAAAGGGAGATCCCCTTTTATCCTTTGTTTTTTAGAGATTTTTATAGTCGGACGTTGGTCCTGGGACGGGATTCAAGGTCCTTGTCCAAGACATCCCAAGCCCTAGACTCTGCAGGGAAGGAATCTGTCCCCGTGCAGAGCCTATTTGCTTGCCTACCGAGACGCTCAGACCAAAGGCCGGAGGTCTCATGGCGGCTGCACGGCTATTCCTTCAGCCGTGCAATGTCGTGAAGGATTAGACTCTCACGACACTTCGAGTCTGACACTTGAGTGTCATAAGCGGTACTCGGATCCACGAGGGACCGCTTGATTATGGGCACCACATAGTACGCCATCATTGTGACTGTTTGCGTACGCTTGCATTGCGAGTCGATATGAGTTAGCCCTGCGCCCGCGCGGTTTTATATTAAAGTCTCGCGTTCGTCGCCGGTCGACTAGGACGCATCCCACACCTCACGCAAGGCCTGTCCTGTAGTAGGGGCTCGCGAGAGGTATGGCTGGCGCACTCGGCCGGAGCGGCTTATGGAAGCTCCATATACATTCGCGACGAAGGATTAAGACCAACTCCTGCGTGACGAGGCCGGGAAGGTCCCGCGCTGCCCCATGCGGTTCGAACCGATGCGCTCAACAGAGTGACGCGGCCGGGAGGGTCCCGCGCTGTACTAGTGCGGTGCCGGATCGATGCACTCGACAGGTGGCGCCGTTGCCGGGGATAACGGAAGCCTACCGTTGTCCCTGGTGGAACGACATCCGGGTATAAGATTGAATGGGAATAGGCATAAAGGAATGACGAGAGGGTAGGGAAAATAATGAGTGACTAAGTATAGGTGAGAAAGGCTTAGTTACTTTGTATGTCCGTCCTGTTTACCTACCTAAGCAAGGAAAGCTACGAGGGACGACCGTATTCGGGTCAGGTAAGTATATGAGGAAGCTAGAGAGGGCATACAGGATAGACCCTTTTGAGATAGGATGCTGAGTAGGTGAGTGTCCTTGTTTGTCTTCTAATAGGGAGCTTGAAGGAAAAAGTCCGTTAAGATGCCGGAGAGCGGCAGTGTGTCGGATGGCACCGGGAAGGTCCTGACGCTCGAGGACCTTATTGCGGCCATGAGAAGACTCCGAGCAATGTCCCTAAGGTCGACACATTTCACTTCAATGGAGAAAGAGTCTCAGACTGGCTGGATCGGGTGGAACAAGCAATTGGTGAGACTAGCGGATGCGGTGAAATTCCAGCGGATCATGAGATATGTGCTTTATGGGCACCATCAGGAGATGCAGAGAGTGGTTAACGACGCCAACGACAATTTGGTCAGGTTTAGAGAGGGAATGCAAAGGAAGTACAAGTTGGGCGATGGCCTGTTAACCACGACAGACCTGGAGGTAATGAACAAAGATAACTTCACTACGATAGGGGCCTTTGTACAAGAATTTAAGAAGAGGGCAAAGAAAGTCCACGGGATCTCAAAGGAGACGCAGTGTGCCATCTTTTTGGGACTGCTTATTGCGTCAGAGGCCTGGGAGTTGACAAGTCATGGGGGAGGGAGTGCTAAGCTCACATGGGCCACCATTGATAAAAGGGTGGAAGATGAGAGCTTAGACCAGGTGGAGCAGCACCAAGTACGGCTACAAAGACAGAAGAGAAAGGAGAGGGATGCTTCGGCGTCCGGGACTCCAGGGGTAAGGAAGATTATCACCGACATATTAACAGAGTTAGACCCGGTGATACAAAGAAAGGTGGCAACGACAATTCAAGGAAGGGCCAAAGAGGCCGTGATAGAGGAGGTTGCCCAAGAAGGGTGGGAGGAAGAGGAGACGGTGCCTCCGCACCTCTCGAAGGTGCAGCGTAAGCAGCACAATTTGATGCAAAGGGGGTAAGGTTCGGGAAAGGGTCAGATGCCCCAAGCGGTGGTAGCTGCCTCCCCTAGTGCGTCAGCACCTTCGAGTAGTGCAAGCCCTTTGCAGGCGCCATCACCACCTTTCGGGCAGTGGCCATGACCCGTGATCAACACCTATGTGCCTTGGGGAGGGCTGACGCCTTCTGGACAGGTAGTACCCTATACTGGGCCGCAGACGAGTATGTCGCCCCCTATCTATCCTGCAGCCCAGGCCCAACCTATGGCCCCACCTCCATCACCCGCTCCTCGTTCGCAAGGGAGCGTGGCTGAAAGTGGGAGCCAGGGTCAGGGCAATCAAGGCAATGGAGGAAGGGGTGGCGGAAGGGGGCGAGGCAGGCATAGCGGCGGTCGAGGAGGACAGTGGAATAGCCAAAGCCAGGGGAACCAAGGCCAGGGGAACCAAGGCCAGGGGGATCAAGGAGGTCAGGGGTACGGAAGAGCCCGCTTTGACTGGAGGTCGGCTATCTGCCAACACTGCGACCAGCAAGGCCACACTATAAGGTTCTGTAACATAAGGCAGGAGAATGACAAGAACGGGCTGATTTCCTCCACCATGGATGGAAACATCTATGACCAGTTTGGGGACTTTATTGACAGGAAGCTTGGGGGAGTGAGAGCGGAGGCCCAACGAATGGCGGCAGCCGGACCACCACCCCCTGCCACGTTCAGGTTATGGCAGGAGAAGGAAGGACTACCAATTGGGCACAAGCGGTTATCGGGTAGCTGAAAATTCACGAATGAAAATTCTGAAGTGAGAGTTTTGGGCAGTCTGGAAATCCTGAATGGTCCTGAAGTGGTGAAAGGTCCGAAGACCCTGAAAACCACCTGTTTGGGCAGGCTGCATCCTGAAGTGGTGAAGGGTGTTCTGAAGTGGTCAAGTGAGAGTTTTTGGCAGTTTGAAAATCCTGAATGGTCTTGAAGTGGTGAAAGGTCCTACCACTTCAGGACCATTCACGATTTTCGGACCTGAATGGTCCTGAAGTGGTGAAAGGTCCGAAAATCCTGAAAACCACCTGTTTAGGCAGGTTGGCTGCATCCTGAAGTGGTGAAGGGAGTCCTCAAGTGGTTATGAAAAATACGACTGTTGTTAACCTTCTCTCCAATTGGGGTAGAGGAAGTGGGGAGGGATGAGGAAGTAAATCAGGGGCTATGAGAAGGAGGTAAGAGGGAAGAGTTCATAATCATCGAGTCAGGCGACGAGAATGAGGAAGAAAAGATGGAACCTCCGTCCGCCTTGTTGGGGAAAATGGAGGACCTGTTGGACAAGATGGGGAGGTACCAACGGAAGTTGGTGGACCTCTGTGAGGGAATAAGGGAATGGAGGTCTAACGTCCCCAAGGTGTTCATTTATGACTCCGGTCCGGAGTCAGCACCCGGGCGACCCTGGGTAAATGTAGTGGGTTCGGGCCCACGATCAGGGATGATGACGGGACCCCTTACCCCGCAGGCCCGGCTGGCACAGGCAGCGCGAACGCGAAGTCAGGCCAAGGCCAGTGCTAGTAAAGAACCTCCCCGAAGAGAGTCTGAGCCGGGAGGAAGGAAAGAGGCAGTGGAAGTGGAGGATGATGATGACGAGGAGGAAGAAGATGAGAGGTTGCGCCAAGAAGAGGATCACAGGGCGGAGCAAAGGGCTAAGAAAAGAGAAGCCAGGGAAGGAGCTGAGCCGGTCTTGCACGATGTGCCGCCTAAGAAGAAGAAATACGCAGCCCGGCTAGAAGAAGGGTTTGACATAGAGAAGGTGATCGACAGGTTGTTAGAAGGACATAACGACCTCATGACCATGAAGGAAATTTTGGCGTCAGCACCTAAGCTCCGTGATGGATTAAAGGGGAGGTTGTCGCGGCATCTGGTACCCAATGTCCATCTGGGTACGATCCTGCCCAAGGAGGCGGAGTGGGCAGAGTCGAGCACGAAGATGGACTGGAAGTGTGTGGCCTGCGGCACAGTAGATTTGGTAGTGAAGGGCTCCAAGTATGCAGTGATGGTGGACACAGGGGCGGAAATGAATATCATCAGGGAAGCGGATGCCATCAGGTTCGGATTGGATATAGACGGATCTGAGTGCGGCATTCTACACGGGGCAAGCTGCAAGGCCATGTTCTGTGGGACAGCCTCGAATGTGTTCATCGAGGTTGAGAAAGTAAAAGCCAGGGCATGCTTCTTCGTCATGCCGGACGTGGATCACGGGATTCTTTTGGGGAGATCCTTTCTGAGCAGGACAGAGACGGTGATATTTAATACGCATGATGGGACTTTGATCCTTGTCTTGTGCGACCTTGCCTGTGGAAATTATGAAGTCATCACCTGCAGGAATACAGGGCCAAAAAGCATAAGGAACTGGCCCAATCCAGGGTCTTTCACAATCGAGGAGTCGGAGGGCGAGCGTCGGAGGCTCTGGGCGGAGCCAGAAGAGGAAGAGAGGGTCGAAGCATTCTCCCTCAGCTTGTCGGACGTGGGGAAAGCCATGGACTTGGTGGCCGCACATGAGATGGCAGATCCGGATGCCATCCAGGCATTGAGGGAGCAAGTCCTGGAGTGTCCCGAGGCAGGGAGATTGGAGTTGGTGTATCGTCTTTCGGATGGCAGGAGGAACCCGGCATTGGTGCAGGTGCAATCTGTGAGTCGGCCTTTTTTAGGGGGGGGCTCAAGCAGGGTTCCCAAAGCCGGTACAAGACGGTAGACCAGAAGTGTCGCCCAGTCCCCGTCCTCGTTACTGAGGACGAGGAGGTGTACTATGAACGAGAGCGGGGGTTGATACGGCGGATGAAGGAGAAAGCCTCAGCAGGGCCATGTCGTATCAACAAAGGGAACGAGGAGAAGTTGATCATAGGAGAACCCGATTTCCTATTGCCTCAGGAACGAGCCTTGATGGTGGAGTTAATGAAGAAGAGGCATCGCGCCTATGTGTTTAGCGACGAGGAGCGCGACAGGTTGGATGTGGATAAGATACCTATGATCCGCATCCACACCATGCCACACGAACCGTGAAACTTAAGAGGGGCGCGATATCCTAATCTTGACGAGGAAAAGAAGGTGGCGGACTACCTCGATGGCAAGATAAGCACGCATGTCGCCGACTACTCAAGTGGGCCGTACGCGTCCCCGTGGTTTTGCTTTATCAAGCCTAACGGGACGTTGCGGTGGGTGCAAGATCTACAAAGGCTAAATGTTGTGACTGTGCGAGATGCAGGAGGGTTGCCCAATGTGGACGCGCTGTTAGAATTCTGTGTTGGAAGACCTATAATCTCGCTTATAGACCTTTACTCATGATATGACAAATTTCCAGTCTAACCGTCAGACAGGCCAGTGACAGCTATGCATATGCCTCGAGGATTAATCTACATGAATGTGGCTCCGCAAGGATGGACCAATGCAGTAGCGATGGTCCAACGGGCCATGATTCGGGTTATGCAGTCAGTCAGCCCACATATCACTCAGTCATATATTGATGATTTGGCAGTAAAAGGGCTGGCAGTAAAAGAGAGTGACGAAGTCTTGCCAGGGGTGAGATGTTTTATCTGGAAGCATATCCAGGACCTTGAGAAGGTCATGGACTTGCTCGAAGAACATAATCTCACGGCAAGTGGGGCCAAATCCAGACATTGTATGAGGGAAGCAACTATCTTGCGGTTCGTCTGCAGTGAGAAAGGCCGACGACCGGATGTAAAGAAGACGGACAAGATTACTGAGTGACCAGTTTCATTCCACTCAATAACTGATGTCCGGAGCTTCCTTGGGACGTGCGGATTTTGTAGGGTCTTCGTCAAGAACTTTGCCGCTAAGACTGAGCACCTGAGAAAGTTAGTTCGTCATGATCAGGAGTGGGTTTGGGGCGAAGAGCAGGAAGATGTGGTGGTCAGAATGAAGGAAGAGTTCCGAGAAGGGGGTTTCGTGTTGGGGGCGCCAGACTATGACGCCACGGAAACGAGACCCTTCATTGTTGAAACGGATGCGGGACCAACTGCCTTAGGTGGGCTCTTAATCCAGGCAGACACGGAGGGAAAGGAAATGCCTTTGAGATTTGAGAGTCGGACTCTTTGTACGACCGAGAGGAACTATTCTCAGATCAAGAGGGAAACCCTTGTCGTCCTCTACTGTCTGCGAATCTTTCGAAACTACATCTTCAGCAGGAGGTTTATATTGAGAGTGAACCCAACTGCCCTGGCCTACTCTCTAAGGAATTACGTTTCATCGGATCCAACAGTTGCCAGGTGGCTGACGTACATCTGGATGTTTAACTTCGAGTTGGAACGGATCCCTGGAAACAAGAACCGGGCGGACGGGCTGAGTCGTATCAAATGGGATAGTCAAGAAGGAGAGGCGGTGGAGAATACGCCCCCAGTTGATGGATTTTTGGATCAAGTGGAAGATGTCCGTCTCCACATTAACAAGTTGTCGCCGCGAGTGCTCAGTTGTGTGGACCATCCTATCTGGCAAGCGTCGAGCGGGTATAAACGGAAGGCGGAGCTGGTCCTTAAGCCTTTTGAGGAAGAGGATCCCTGGGGTGGTAAAGATGTTCAGTGGATGATGAAGTTGGCGTTGGCTGGATCGCATAGCCTAGTGGAAGATATGAGGGCAATAGAGGAGGGGTCAGGCCAGGTAGAAAGGCATGAGGAATTGATAGGGGGAATGTATCTTCTCGTCAACACACCACTGCAGGAAAGCCTCGATCAAGCAGGCCCGTTGAATCCGGCGGGGAATGAGGACGAGGTGCCCGAGAGCCAGGACGACGAGTTTGATGAGGGTGAGATCAAAGAGGTCTTTCGTACAGAGGAGTATGAAGGGATCTACCTGGAATTGGGACTCCTTCTGTCATGCGAAATGCGGCTTAGAAATGCGAGCGATAGGGCTCAAAGAATGATGCAGCGCTACTTGGTACGAGATGACCATCTTTTAATAAGGAGAGAAGTGGGGAATCCCAGGAGAGTCGTCTGAGGTAGGAATCGTCAGATTGACGTCATGACAACACTTCATGATGGCAGAGCAGGAGGGCATCGAGGGGTACATGCCACATATGCCAAAATAAGTGAATTGTACTACTGGGATGGAATGATGGACATGGTCGGGAAGTTCTGCCGATCATGTGTGCCTTGCCAGGAGAGATCCCGTTTGAGGCAAGGAGAGTCGTTACATTCAAGGTTAGAGCGGGAGGTGGGGGCTGTAGTGCATCTTGATCGACTGTTCTGCCGCTTGGGGATCAGGGCTATAACTATATCTTCGATGCGCGCGATAACCTGTCTGGCTTCATAGACGGACGTGCCATTCGTACGAAGACTGGGCCAGTCTTGGTTAGCTGCATCGAAGAGTACTACCTGCGTTATCCTTTCGTCAGGGAGTTTGTAATGGACAGGGGATCGGAGTTTACCTACCAGGAGGTGCAAGAACTGATATCGAGGTATGGTGTAGTAGCCAACTACACCACGGCCGCGCACGCCCAGGCAAATGCTCCAGTGGAGAGAGGGCACAGTACCATTACGAACCTCCTGGCTAAGTGGACCGAAGATAGGCCTAATCAATGGCCAAGGTACCTAAGTGCGGCATTCTTTGTCGAAAACATTACAGTGAGAAGATCCACCAAGTACGCACCAGCGACGCTGTGGTATGGAAGACACGCCACCTTCCCAATCGAGAGTTTTCTAAAGACCTGGAGGCGACAGGATCTGGAAGTAAACTTGTCTTTTGAAGAGTTACTCGATATCCGAGCGCGTCAGGTGGGTGCAATAGAAGAAAGAATTCAGGAGGCGTCTAACCAGGTGGAGAGAAGCCGTATGGATGGTAAGGTTCGCTGGGACCAGTCTACGCGAGTGAGGAAAGTACCCTTGGCAGTTGGGGATGTCGTACTCCTGTACGATTCATCGTTGGAGAAGCAATGGTCCAGGAAGCTCGATAAGAGGTGGTTAGGCAAACAGCATCTACAAGATTTACTTATATATTAGCTTGTGATAAATTAAAAACAGGTAGCCCAGTCATGAATAATGTGCATAGCTTTGGGAACCTGGAGCAAGCTTTGGGAAATTGTGTACAATTAGCATATATACCAGTGGGTACTTTGATTCATAATATTGAATGGAATCCAGGCCAAGGTGCCAAATTCGTTCGGGCTGCAGGGACTTTTGTTCAATTGATTCAAAAACATGAGGCAACCGTCAGGTTGCGGTTACCCTCAGGCGCGTTAGCGTCTATAAATTCCTACCGAATCGTGCGGTGTGGAGATTTTTGAGCATACCAGATCGAAGAATTGAATGGGACTGAATGGAAGGACTGGGTATCTGGAACGCGGCTGAAGAAATTTGTGGCGCGAGAAGAGGTGAGAGAGATGATCTGACTTCCTTTAGAGTAAAAGCGATAGGATGTGTAGGTCAGATAGGTTGCATGCTGTATGAGTATGGTCTGGTTTGAGCTTGCTTTGATTATCACCTGTTTGCTTACCCCAATGTGTGTCTGTTGTCTCCTTCGCCTGTTGTGCAGGTCTGACCTTACGAAGACAACCATGCCAAGAGGAGGGAAGGGGACACGGCCGCCATGAAGGTCATTGGGAGCTTCAGGAGGATATGAGCGGCATGGGCCTCGCCATCGAGAGAGTACTTCGATGTACGATGATGGGGACATCGAGCTATTCCTGGACAGCTTCTGGGAGCATGCAAGGCGTATGGGTTGGACCGTGGCCCAGGCGATTGAGAGATTGAGGGGCGCCGACAGGTTCGAGGAGACCATTGCCCGGATCCGTAGGGAGGCGACGACGAGGCCAGAGGTGGAGATGAGGATGCAGGAGCTACGACCCTCGCCTGTGGGACCTGATGGCAGACCGATTTGCCTAGAGATCGGAAATGCGGCGGACTTTATCCCCGCCTTCGAGTGGTTCATGCAGGGGCAGGGTACACCGAGAGATGATTGGGCGAGGACGCTACCCCTCTGGACTAGAAAGGCGGAGAGGCCACTGGCTAGGCAGATCAGAGATATGGCCCGGGATTGGGAGAGTTGCAGGGCACACTTGAGGGAGGTCTTTCGACGGCCAGAACCTTGGCCCCGAGTTGAGAGGCGCCAGAGAAGCAGGAGACAGGGGGACCCTGAGCCCAGTGAGGCAAGGCCATCTCGAGGGGGACGGAAGGCCCTCCTAGCCAGGAGAGAAGAGGAGTCGGAGCCTGAGGTTGAGGAGCGAGGGGCGTATCCTGAGTGTGGGCTGGGACCGGTGGAGTTCCATCATTTTACCGAGGGTGGATTGAGGAGGTCGCCAGTGCGCACACATGAGGAGGCGCCAGCATCTGAGGGCCCACTGAGAGAGTTGGAGGCGCACCTGGACGTCTCTCGATGGGGAACGTCGCCTCGAGGCGAGGAGCGTGGAGGACAGGCAGAGGAGGTGCCACGAGAGGAGGTACCACGAGAGGAGGCCCGGGACATTCAGGGAGAGAGGAGGCTGGGTGATGAGGGGAGGCGTGCAGGGAAGGACGTGATAGAGGTTGGAGAGAACACACCCCCTCAGACGCCAGCAGTGGGTTTAAGGCCTGGGGATACACCAGGGAGCACTCGCCAGACAGAAGAGGGATTGCAGAGAGAGGGGGGCCCATTGCCTTCATCAAAAAAGGCTCCTTCGTTAGAGAGGAGAGCAGAAAGGAGGAGAGAGACTGCAGCTGTAAGGAGAGAAGCCTTGGCCCTGATTGACAGACACCTAGCAGCTCATGCCCTGGAGCACCCAGACCTGGAGGAGCCAGCACCTGCAGAGCCGCGCCAAGAGTCGTGCCAGCCTGAGAAGGAGGTGGAGGCAGAGATCCCGAAGAGGGTCGACCATCGCACGAGGGAGAGGGCACCAGCTGGCGAAACAACTGAAGAAAAGAGAGCGAGTAGAAGCATGAGAATAGAAGAGATATGGCAGGAAAGGCAGAGATTGGAGGTAGCAGGGGGAAGAGAGGTTAGATCTCAAGATCAGGTTCTTAGCAAACACCAGTTTCGATCGGTATCTGATGGTGGAAAGCGATCTGGCGGGGAATAAGATGAAGGAAGAGGATCATGGGCTAAGTTTGGAGACGATGGAAGTAAAAATCCAGGAGCTCAAGACTCTAGTAGCTAGTCAGGCTGCCATTATCGAGGACTTGAGGCAGTAGCATCGAGGGAGAGAGGACAAGGCCGAGAGCATTCGGCAGAGAGAGCAAAGGCAGTCGGGACATGGTTTGTCAGGACAGCCATCTGCAGCGGATTCCTGCCAGGAGCCACCTATGGGGAGAGTTATCCTGGAACCAGAGGAGGCGAAAGCCCAGAGGGAGGCAGAGAGAGAGGCCTTCGAGTTCAGAGCCCCTACTGAACTCGCGACGCTACCTATAGTAGCGGCAGGCCCAGTCATGCCATTGGCAGTTGAGGAGGGGCTACCACCGTCTAGCAGTGAGCCAACTCAAGGCTCAGCAGAGGGATCCATGGACGTGCTCCTTGAGGCAGTGCATACTATGCACGAGGAGGCGAGTTTGTTTTCGCCCGAACAGAGGATAGAGGAGCCTCTTGAGAGAGAGATGGGGATTGAGACAGAGGGTATCATTGAGGGCAGGCCCCATAGATTGGACATGCCTGAGTATGGGTCAGAGGGGATTGGGGTTCGACCAGGGCCAAGTACCCAGGAATCGGAGGCGAGACCATAGGAGCCTTTGGATATGCCTCAGAGTCATGAGCTGAGCAGGAAGGCCAGCGAAGCACAATCATCGCCAGGATCTCAAAAGGGAAGAAGAAATCCAGGAAGTGGTTTGATACATCCTGCTTCTTCTGCACGAAGGAGGGTCCCGCGCTGCCCTAATGCGGTGCCGGATCGATGCGCTCGACAACACCATCAGCCCTTTGGTTGTGTAGGCTATTACTACTATGTATTTGATAATCCATGTATCGCAAAACTAATTAATGGTTGTTCCCCGGTGAAGTGCTCTGTCAGAACCTCATCAATTTTTCCAGATCATGGTGCAGACATTAACCAAAATCATGTTTTTACTTGCTAAATCTGAGTGAACGATATTTCTAAAGAGTCATTCATTCCCAGTTTTTCAGATTTACTGCAAAGATTATCAATTTTGTTGCCAAAGTTATGTATCCCCACCCCTTGTTAAAGGTAACTTTTACTTGAAGTATCCCATCTAATACAAAGTCCTCCGATAATTGAATCTCTTACGTGAGGAAGATAATTAATGTCTCTCCCACCAGTTCCAAGTACGCTTTGATTCCTCATAGTCCCACCAAAGATGACTATTGGTCTCATGGTATCTTTTGCACTTGAAGCGCTCATAAATATCTATCGGCCTACCTTGAAATCACTTTGTTGTAGGTACTGCCCTGTGGGATTGCAACCATCTCATACTAGAAAAACCAGTTTGGGAGAAGTGCAACATCGTTTCTTGGTGTCTTAAACAGTGGTTTCATAATGTTAGTTCTTCCTAGTTAGTTTTTGTGACGTGCCAACTTCTGTCCTTGAATGAACTTCTGAAGCCTGGTGTCCTGCTACTCTTTTATTTTCGACCATTAATGATTTTTTTTGGCTAGTGGGTAATGCATGGGATCAACGGTCGTCAAGGACTCCTTACTTCAAAATGTTTTCGTTTTCTCAGGGTTTTCATAATTCAACTTTACATGGGAATTATGTGGGTCTTAGCGAATGAGCTAGAAATTTTGTTCGGGAGCCGGGAACTCCGGAATTTGCGGGCGCACGTCTCGCTGACATGTCTTTACTTGCACATGAGTGTCCCAAAATCCACCTCGGAAAGCTCGGTAATTTTTTTGAAAAACAAAATAAATAGGAGTAGAACTTCGCAAGTCTCATTCTGCGCTCAAGTAATGCTTTCAAAATTTTCAAATCTTGAACTACTTTTAGAGCAGAATTAGACGAGGTCTAAATGTTTCGGTGCCTTTTTGTGTCCACGTCGGCGCCATGCCTGCAAGTTTTCCGCGCCTCCAGATGTATCTCAAACCATCTTCACCCTTTCTCCTTTGCGCCTTCTTCCTTTAACCCGTAACTGTTTTCGATCCCATTTTCCATTGCGCTTCTTTCTGTCTCTCTTCACTTGAATGTAGGTCATGCTCTGCACCACTCTTCGCCCCCTCTCCTTTCCTGCCTTCGTCCTCGTGAAGAAAGGTCCTATCGATCCTCTCCCAATCGTTCGAAGCATCAAATGACGGCGTGTAAGGAGACACTGACCCCCTCATACTGTGATCTTATTGGCTGCGAAGTGACTTGTGTTGATCGATATGGCTTTCCCAAGGCGACGGATCGCTCTTTCCCTCCCCTTCTCTCTTGTCTTCTGCGTCCCTCTCCGCAACTATAAAATCCGCAAGTGCATCCAAAAATCTCTTTCTTAACCCATCTGTCAGCTTCAAGGAAGTAGTGGCTAGATGATGTGACGATCAGCGAGTTCGAAAGTCCTAATGAGCCGATTGTAGTCTTGTGAGGCTGCACGTTGGATGACCACAGCCAAATGCGGGATCTGGACTAGTCAACCTAGGGACTAAGTTAGCGGGGTGACAATCGCTATGGAACAAAGGTTGGGTATGTGGTGGTCGGGATCGCCGGTGCCTGAGTAAGAAAGGTGTGTGTGGATGAGTAGTTGAATTGCCTAAGGCCATGGTATGACAACAAAAGGTTTGCATTCGTTGCTTTTTTTTTCTTTTTTTTTTTTTAAAGCTAAGTTCACGTTGAGACCGTGACGCTGGTTTCATTCATATTTGCTTTTGTGCTTGTAACACTCTCTTTCCTCTTTGCCTAATTATTCGATCAAGCTACGACTCCATCAATACTCTCCCCCNCCCCCCCCCCCCCCCCCCCCCCCCCCCCCCCTCTCTCTCTCTCTCTCTCTCTCTCTCTCTCTCTCTCTCTCTCTCTCTCTCTCTCTCTCTCTCCGTGAATGATTCAATGATCTGACATATTTCTTGTTTCTATCTGTATCTGAGGCCCCCCCTCCCCCCCGCTCGTCTTTTTAAGTTTGATCGGATCTCGCGGGGACGAGCGTCGTCGAACTTGAGATACCGGCAAGGTCATGTGACCTTCTCTCTCTCTCCCCCTCTGCTCCTCTTTGTGTAATGAATGATGCGTGTTCGTGATGATTGATGTATGTAAGATCATTTGCCCCTACTCATTTTAGATGTTTGAAGTCTCGTCGGGCGAACTTAGTCGAGCATAAAAATGTGTCGGGAGCGAAACACTTTTGTGTATGGTCGAACTGTTGTTTTGATGATTTAGATCTAAGAATTTGGTTTGCGTATTATTTATTCATATTTACTTATTTCTTCCCTCAATGAATTTTAATACTTGCATTTTTTATCATATCGAATGATGGATTGAGTAGACAAACGCTGCTAACCCGCTTATGTCATGTGGACCAACTCTACCGATCCGACTGGGCGCCGACTTTCCGTTTCCCTACAGTGCTTGTTCCCGTATAATGAGAAAAAACCACGTGTATGCGAGTAAAATGTAGAAGAAGTCGTCAGAAAAATCGGAGGATGATATTATTTCCCTCCCGATACGCGGTGTTTTGGGTTCGTGGGCGCTGAATTTGTGATTGTCGATACTCATTTTTCGCTTTATTCTTTGTTATTACCCTTCAACGAGTTGATTGTTATTCCATGATGGCAGTGACACCCCATTGGATTTGTGATCAGGGTGAAACTATGCTTGGGGACATGGTGCTGTTGGAACTGTAATTGAGACTGCATTGGAATTGTCTGAAACATTGGGACCACGTGGACGCTCGATTGTGAGAACACCCTCCTGGAGGGTTATCTCGATTGAGTTTTTTTTTGTGTGGCCCAGCCTTTACTCATTCGGACACTTGGTGGAAGACGCGGATTGTGGCTCAGGAGAAAGGTCACAACCTGTGGAGTTGTGAGCCGTGTATTTTCATGTGAGCCGCATATTTTCATATTCAGCTGTGATCATTGTCTTTTGATTATAATATTACTCGGTTTTCTTGAGTGAGCCGGATCAAACTTCACTCAAGCTCAGTCAGTTGAATGACTCAAATTTTTCTTCATACCTGTGTGAAGCCACGCTTTGCTTGACCTTGTTTGCTTTGAATATTCAAAAGAAAAGGTAGAGTAAAGTTGGGTGAGTCATGCATGTGAACGGAAAGGTCTGACTTGAGTATGAGATTGTACTGGTTTTCTTTTGAACTTGTTGTCTTTGCGTGCTAAGCAGGTAGGTAGAATGATGCTTCTAAAGGAGATTGATTAAGTTTATTTGGGATGAGGAAAATTATTGTTTTCTTTCTTCCTTTTGCCTGCCTGCTCGTTAAAATGACTTGTTGTTTTGAAAAAAATTGATTCAGTGTGTGTCGTAAAATGAATGCGATTGAAATAAAGCAGATAAGGTCAAAAATACTTAGCCTTTTCCTGAGGTTTACCCGTTCTATCCCGAATCACCTGATCTACCTATACCCATCCAAATAATTCTCGTTCTCTATCTCCTTCAGTTTCTTTTCGTCCAAATTGCCCTGAACTTAAGAGTAAAGAGAACTACAAAAACCTATTTGTGGTGTATACATTCTCTCTCTAGGAAGCATCTGGGGCGAGGGTTCGTTGTTTCAGGAGCCGACCCCGTTATCAACCAGAGTGAACCGTTTTACGGGAGGGTACTTCGTCGATTCGGTGGAGACGGCCCAACTTCTGAGATCCGAGTCTTGTTTGCTCGGGCCAGGAGGAGGAGTACCCCAGACCACTTCCTAGAGGGTGAGACATGTAATATTTCAAGTAATTCACCTAGTCAAAAATCATTCGCAAAGCAGTTTGTCATCCAATAAGATCATAAATGTATGTGGACGAGAGTGTATGTGTGTTTAATCTTAGGTCTGCGGTAGGTTGGAATGAATGACTTTGGCAACGCGTCTCATAAGTCAAAACTGAAGCTTACCGACTACCTTATCGGATGCATCAATATTATTGTCGATAGCCAACTCCTCGTTGGCGGTTGTATGATTGTTTTGTGGAGTTCGATCCGGGATGGTCGGATTTTATTTCGATCCTGTATTATTGAATGTATCTAATTATGATTTTGATTCTTTCAGTTATCATTTCAGATTGGATATATGTTC